TGAGGAGAGAAGAAAGCAAGGCGAAACCTCCAAGGAAAACCTCAGTCTGTTCCGAATCAGTTATTTCTTCCTGTACTGTATCTACTGGGGGGATTAGGTGTGTAATGAAAATCAGTAATATTCCAACAGAGCCACTGTTTGCTTCCTGGTATTTCATCAGAAGCCGTGTATAGTAATGTCACGAGTCGTTCTGTTAGCTCTGCTCGGATCAGTAGAAGGAGCCGGCTTCTCCATCCGGTCAGTTCAAGTGGTGGCTGAAGTTTACCCTGATGAGTCTGATAAATACTGGAAATATTTTTATTTCTTCAGGAAATTAAGCATGAAACGTGCTGCCACAGTCCTACTTACACTTCTGTTTCATTAAGGAGGCTTTTGCAGGACGTTGCTGCATGCTTCTCTGAACATGTATTTCTTCATGTCTCCGTGGCCGTCCAGTTTTGTTTGCTTGGTTTTGACCTCTTGCAGTTTACGTTCTTCGTGCACCTCTTTTTTAATCCCTGTGTGGAAGAAGCATGAAAGGTTGTCTTGACAGGTTAGTTCTGAAATTGCAGCGTACAAAGCTGATGGGAGGCCTGCAGCTGAGAAGTACTTCAGCACTGCAAACGGCCATGGTCTGTTCTAACACAGCAGTTAAGCATTGTGGCTCCTTCAGTTTGCAATTCCAGGCTGAGTCACTTTCCTGCACTGCTCCTTTCTTTACAGGGTAGTAATGCAGATGTTTAGTCTCGCTAACACTTTCCTTTGATAAGACGTGCTGTGGAAACAGAACTTGAAGGCCGCTGTAATTATTTAATGTGCTGCCTTGACCACATGTAAATATATCCTCTCTAGATTCCGAATCAAGAGGAGGAGACCAGAGTTCTCCTGGGCCTGCCTCCTGACAGAATTGGACATGGAACGTTTCTCAACTCTGCAACAGCAGGTTCCAAAGAGCTAGTGCCACTTGTTCGACAGAATCACATACCTCTGGGTAAGAAAAGAAGTTACCCAGCCAGTAGTTAGGAACAAATTGATTACCAAACTTTCCTCAGAAGATATTGCCAAATATGTGAAGCATAAATAATCAAGGAAACAGCAATAGCTGATTTTAGTTTTCATTCGGGAACAGAAATAAATCAACTCGTGTCAAACACATGTCTTTTTGTTTTGATAAATATCCCTGGTGCTTCTTTTTTTCCCTTAGAACTGTGCATGACATCTAACATCAAAACTCAGACGGTGCCTTCCTGTGACAAACACCATTTTGGATACTGGTACAACATGGGTCACCCTGCAGTGCTCTGTGTAAGTTTTTTTTGTTGTTGTTTTAACCCTGGATTTAGGCAAAGAGCCAAAGTAGTGTGAAACTGGAGAAGTGTGTCTCCTTTTATGGATCAGAGCTGATTTACTATTTCTGACCTTGGAGCAAGTCATCTGCTTAGAGGAAATCATCATGTTCTGTTTGAGAGATGCTTGTAATGCAGATGGGAATTTTCAGTGTTTCTCTTGGCTTCTTTGTAAAGCAAGACCTGTTTTTCTGTGTAGACAGGACAATCAGCTATATATGCAATGAACTTCTTAGGTTTGAGAGGAACCTGTCCGTATGCGAAGTGATTGGTGCAATGCCTGCACGTAAGCTTGTGCTTACCTGGATATTTACTGTGTGGGACCAGAGTTCTAGAGTTCTCTTGACAGCTAATTAAGGTCCTCAGATGTTGAGGTGCTGAGTACTTTAGTGGGCATGGGAAGGATTTTGCTGTCATCCTGTTGGTTTCACCCCTGTAATTTGTAGCATTGTCCAAGTGTGTGTTTATCTATTAGTGTTGTGCTTACTACTCAAATAAGCTTCAATCCTTTGGTGTGTAAAGTATTTAGTACTGTGTCTGAACTCTGTTGTATTAGGTGAAAAATAATTCACGACTAGAGAGAATTCCTGAGATTTGCAGTTGTGAAAAGCCTAGATAAGCAGTGTACCCATAAAGGCCTGTAAAACAGGAGTGGAAGGAGGAGATGCTACGCTGGCTTAAGTTCACCAGGATACAGTTAGCGTTCTTCTCTGCGGGGACACAAGGACTCTGAGTTGCAGATGGGTAATCTCATTAACCCTTAAATAATCCTAGCTTGCTCCTTCAGAGGAATAATCTGTAGGTGGCTTTTGACCCTGCGTTTTTGATGCTGGCCTGGTCCTTCAGTCAGTGTCAGGAAAGAGCTCTAGGTGAGGCTATATGCGGAGGGTAAGACACTTCCTTCCCTGAAGCTGCAGGAATGGAGAGTATGCTCTAGTTCCTAGAGCTGAGGAAAGGGAAAAGAGGAAGGAGGAGAACCTGCACATACTGACATGGCTTGAACTTGTGCTTCATTTGGTAGCCATCTTTCTAGCCATTTTAATAAGAAATCCTGCTGTCTTGCTAAATTGTGCTGTCACTTCAAGAAGTTTCCTTGTATGTTTGAAAATGTATGAAGTTTGAGTGAAAATAGGGCAAATAAAGTATAAAATAATTGCCAGCAGATGAAAATAATGTGGAATAATATGTGAAACAGCAAGATAAAACTGGTTTGTAATGTGTAGAAATAGCCCTTTTTGATGCAGAGGAACTAATTGAAACTTTTTTTCCCCATTTAACTCCAGACCGATGATAAAGGCGTCTTTGCAACAGATCTCTCACAAGAATACGAGCTGGTTGCAAAAACATTTAATCTGACTCGATCGCAGATGTGGGATCTTTCCTATGAATCAATCAACTATATCTTTGCTTCAAGCCTAGTAAAATCAAAGCTGAGGGAACAGTGGTGTCAACTGAAGCCAGCTCTGTTTGATTGATCAAACTGTTGTTCCGAACAGCTTGGGTGCGTTAACGTAGTGTTTTTTACTGAAGTCCCTGGCTTTTTCCAGATATCAGGTTTATAAATGCAGCCCGTACACTGTGCCTGTGCAACGCGAGGATGACAGGAATGCATCCTTTGAGAGTGGGGACAGAAATAGATGTTCTTTTGGAGGTGGGAGGGGCTCTTGGCCAGTGACTAACATTCCAAACGTCTCATCCTGTCCTTGCTCTCCAGTTGATACGACGTTTTAAAGAAGTACTTAGTGGAAACATGTTGTCATACTCCAAACATTTGGGAGTTAGAACAAAATAAAGGCACAGCTGTTAAGGTTTAAAAACTTGCTGTTGGCAGCATCAGGCCAAGCAGGTTGTAGGTATGGTGTGTGGATGTGGGGTTTGCATTGTTTCTGTACAGGAGTTTTGAGCAATTGCTTGACTGTGAAGACAGAACCTGACTCAGGGAGCATGAAATATTTGTCCCCAAGGAATTAAGTATTGCATCTGGTTTTATTGGCATGCATGTATGACTGAAGCCTGTGGTGGATTGTGCAGCATCTGCGGTGGTGCCTGTCGATGTACTTGGCACTGGCAGGGTCCAGAGAAAGTTAAGACGTTGGCAGACTGTGACCTACTCAGGGGAAATGGTCTGATTCATAAAATGCTTTCTAGAAGTGGTGTTTGTTGTAAAAAAGCAATAAAAACAGCGTCAACCTCCACGTTTGTGAAATCACTGTCACGCGTGCGTGCGTCTGTGGAAGAGGCACCTGTGTGACCTGCTGCAGGACTGGGCACAGCGAGCCCCTGGGGCAGAGCTGCTGCCTGCGAGCAGCACCGCTTCTGCTGGGGGAGCAGGGGATGCTCCTTGGTTCCGGCAGGATGGGGTTCCCCCTGCAAGTCTCCAAGCATGGGCTTTTGGATGTTTTCATACCGAGATACCAAAATATAGATGACCATACACATGCAACAGCTTCCAACACTAGGTACTGACAGAAGTAGCCAGAGAGAAGGCATTTCATACCTGGGCTGTTTTTACATTGATTAACTAAACAAGCAGTCATTCCGAGCTCTACAAGGGATACTGAATTTTAATACAGTGATGCAGAAGCTCTTCATGGCTTCTGTGGTGGTCTCTAAAACCAGCATAAAGTAGTTGTTCTGTCTCCAAAGTGACAATAAGGATCAAAAAGGAAAAAGAAAGGCAGGGCAGAGGATAGCAAAGAAGTTGATACGTCTGTGTGGCTATTTTGGTTTATTGCCATCTGATCATATGAGCTAACACTTACAGAACAGCCTTCAGTGCTTACTGACCTCACATGACAATGTACACTTTGGTCCTACTGAACAATAGTGCCTTTGCAGTCGTATGCAAGCAGAGAGCAGCTGCTCACTGTAGTTAGTTTCTCGCAGTGCCTTTGGAGACAAGCGCAGCAGGGCTTCAAAGCCTCTAGTCCTTACGATGAGGCTGGTAGCATACCACAGCTTATCCTAACAGAACTGCTGAAGGGTCAGCGTGTACACACTGCTCTTCCAGATCATGGCTTTACAAATAGCACAATTACGTGAGTGATTTATATGCCTCTTTCAAACTGATAGACGGAAAAAATAATAGTCCCGATAAGGGCATTGCTTAGTGCATGAGAGGATGAGGAGAGTGGAGCATCTCTCAGATGAGAGGCCCAGAGTCCTGGGGCTGTTTGGACTGGAGAAGAGACAGCGCAGGGTGGGATCTTGCCAACGGTTCAGAGTATCTGATGGGAAGGGGTAAAGAAGATGGAGCTAGGCTCTACTCAGGAATACCCCGGAACAGGAAAAGGGAAACAAACCGAAACAGGAAATTCTACGGGAGCTTAAGGAAACACTTTTTAACTGTGTGGGTAAAAATATGGAATGTGGGAACACGCTGCCCAGAGAAGCTGGGGAGTCTCTATCCTTGCAGATAGTCAAAACCCTAAGTGACCTGCTGTAGTGCACCCTGCTTGAGCCAAGGAGGTGGACTGGACAATCTCCAGAGATGCCCTCCAACCTCAACTATTCTGTAAAGTGAATACACAAATATACAAATAATAAAGTCTCTATGTGAATACAAAATCCTTTAAAATTAAATACTGACTTAGCTTAGTCACTCAAGTGACAGTTTTTCACCAGGCTTGAGCAAAAGCAGTTGACTGACCTGTGAAATTGTTTTTAAAGAAGGACTTATTCATTTTTTGTAGCCTTCCTCCTCTCGCATGCGCTGTGGAACCCTTTAGTGCCATCAGGGCCTTTAGGCAGCCGCAGCACACCCACAGGGAGGCCGTCTGCATTTTGTATTTTCCGAGCCAACATGGGGCTCCCGACAGGACTCTTCTCTTGTCTTGTTTGAGCTTTTCTTCTCTGGACCCAGGGGCTACCAGAAGGAGTGATACTGCTATCTGAGGAATAATCCATACATTTCCTTGGAATTTCAGGGCTAGCACTTGTGTTCAGCTTGCTGTCTTCAGCCAGCGGAGACTTTCTGGTGACTTTTCTCAGTGACGATGGACTGTTCCGAGGGCTTGATCTGGGTGACACATTAGGACTCAAATGGTTGTTGGGGTGAATGATGGGGCTCAAACTACTCACAGCATTTGCTACAGTCCTTTTGCGTCCTGATAGTGGTGATGTAGGGTCACTCTCTGGGTCAGAGGAGCTATTTGCTGAAGATTCGTCACCAACAAACTGAAGCTCCTCCACTCTTCTGTTCAGGGATCTAGCCTTCTTAAGGCTCTTGCTGCTCTCTTCATCACGGTTCTTGTCTTTGGGAACTTTCTTCTTTGGCGGTTTCATGCCTATCAGAACAACTTTCATGCCAGCCTCTTTCTCTTCAGCACACATGAAATCGTGAGCACGTACGGCAGCATCTACTTCTTCGAATTCTACGATCGCACAGTCCTGAGTTCCCAGCTGGGGGTACCGACTGCTGACCCTCCTGACATCAGGTGGTAGCTCCCTACCAGGCTTGAGAATACGAACTGAGGAGATGACACCAAAAGTTACAAAGGCTTTGAGGAGATGCTCCATCACCCTTTCCTGCATGCATCCATTTTCGTGTTTGTTAAGAGCCTGCAGCTCAGAAATCATGTGGATATCGTACACCAGTAACATCCTGGTAGGGAGGTTTTCACTTGGAAACAGTGGAACTGGAGTGTTCCTTCTCACCTTTCTGTTATCGTCATTGAGCTCAAGAGTGTCCGAGTACTTCAGAGCATAGGCTGTGGTCCTCCAGTCACGAGTAAGGTGTTTCACCTTGAGGACAGACACAGGTTAAGCAACACAGCTGATCAAATCCACTCCAGCTAACTTCAGAGAGCCTAAGGCAGATGCAGGCTCCAGTCTACAAACACAAACCTGGATTTAGGTTTTATGTAGCAGAGTTGAGTGAACAAGTAAACAGTTTGCCTGCTATAATGGGCATCAGTGAGCTCCTGTAAAGCTCATGTCCAGTCGAAGTTACTGAAAATAGGAACTGACACTGAATCTCAAACTGAAAATCTTTACTTTCTCTGAAAGGCTGCTCAAGTGATGTTCAGTCATTCCGTATCTAGGTCTGAGCCATGACCAAAATGCATGTTCTGTGAGTTTTATTTTGCTAAATTTGCCAAACAAGCAGTTTTGCCAAGTTTAGGACTTCATTTTATTGAACTGACTTTTCCTCCCTCAAAAATGTCAGTTTAAAAAACCCTGAACTTCTCCATTTCTAAGCAGTGTTTTTAAGGGTTTATCTGTTACAGGTGTCATCTGTTTGAAGTGGTCAGAAGAAACTGGGATTACCTTAACTTCCAGGCTGAATAGCTCTGCAAAATTCTCAGATTTAGAGTACTGACAAAATGTTTCTAAGGTAATTGTAGAAGTAAGTTACATACACATATTTACATAGGAGTTTCTAATGTCAAACAAACTGCACTCACCTTCAGTTACCAGATACTTTCTACTACTTTTAAGCTTGTGGATCTCCAAACACCTGCAAAGGTGAGATTCACCATCCCTCATCAGAGACAAGAAAGTAACTTTACCAGGATTACTTAGCTACTCATGAATAGCCTGATCCAGAAATGAATTTTATCCAATGTCCCACTTACTATGCCCCACGCTAAAAAGCATAGTTGCTTAAAAACTTAAAACTTCCCTAGCCAATCGTGAACATGTTCAGCAGTTGAAGTTCCTGATGAGAACAAACCTGACCATCACATCAGAATTGAATCAACCCCTGAGAGAGGCAGATGAAGAGGAATTCTGTAAGGTATTTTCATCTAATCCCTCCTAATGACTTTATGTTTCTCAGGCTTACACAAGGCACTTCAAGTCTTACAAAGTGAGCTTACCTTCTTAAAAGAAGTGAGGAGTTTAACACTGACATAGCCCATCTTATTTCTTCTCACATGCTTTAGAAGGAAGGCATCTTTCTCAAGGTTCTCATCTGAGAAGTAATATTCAATCTGTGCTATTAACTTCTGGATCAGGTCATTTTCTGGTGGTTTCCAGTTCTGGTCAGAGTCGTCATCATTTTCCCCACCACTAGAAAACAGTTAAAGCATTTTAACAGATCTTCATCTTACATTAGTGGATCCAAGTAGCCTTTCAAAAGGAAAAGGCATAACCGTGATGCTGATTCCAGCTGACTTCATAGGCAGGCACCCCTGTCCCTCTGAGGTAGGAGGCCAGCTCACAGGATGAAGCTTTCAAGTCAGCACAAGGAGTCATGTTCCTGAGCTCATTCCAAACGCTGATCTCAGTGTAGAACAATGGGATGCAGACACTAACATCTTGAAAATGCTCTGCCAACCCAGATCCTACACCAAAGCATGAAATGCAGGTGCACGGGCACCTGGTGCTGTACAAAGTTCCTCCCATGACACTGTTTTATTGCTCAGGGTGAAGCTATTAAAGTGAGTGAATATTGCAACTTGGTGCAGTCGTGATTTCTCAAGCCTCGGCAGCGCATGAATGCAGGAGCCAGTATCCAGGGAGGAAGAAAGACTGACAGGACTATGGCACTATTTACAGGTCACTTCCTGAGTGACAGCGTAACTTAACTACCAGTTTACTGAGGGGCTTAAACTGCACGTATGTTACAGATTAAGGATTTTGGTGCAGCAGCAGCTTGTGTACCTCGGGAACAGCTGCATACACACACATACAGGCCATTCACACTTCCTCTCCGCCACTCCCATCACGTTGTCTAGGTATCTGTGCAAAATGGAGCACCACTGACATCCCATCCAAAGAAAGATACTGCAACCATGCATTTGAGAGAAACTTGCCCTATCTAGCACTGAGGCAAATAATTCACCTGCAGACACTGCTGTAAGAGCTTTAATACACAAGTCTGTCTTAAGCTAGAGCCATCTTTTAAAGGTGTTAGCAGTCTAATTTTCCTGTGGGACTGTCATGAACGTTCTATTTAAAAAAAAAAAAAATCATCCCGTCAGCTCCCTAGACCCTATAAATAATGTAATACTTTGGTCTCCCATGTACCTCAGCAACAAGAAAGGAGGAGCCACATGTCTTCCCAAAATTGTCTTCACTGGCTTTTGCAGAGCTCGTGAAATCATTAAAGAAGGGAGCAGGCATCACACCGGAGTCCTCCGAGGGCAACCCGCAGGGAGGAGGCTGCAAGCTCCCGAATCACCGTGCGTGGAGACGGTGATCTCGATGCCGAGTGGCGTGCCACCCACGCCTGGGTGCGGGCAGCAGCGCTGCCTGGGCAGGGGCTTGCTGTGCGCCTGAAGATGCTGCTCAGGTCAGCGCAGGGAACGTGCTCCCAGGGGTGACAAGCTACGGCAGTTCTCTGGGACCTGGCTTTGGGGCGTAACGATGTATTTACTTACTACGGTTCTGCGGATGGTAAGGTCACAAATTACATATACATGGATACTGACTCCCACAGTCCTAGTCTCCTTGTCAGACTCCCCAGCCACTTAATGGGGTACAGTTCAAAGGTAGGACAGGGGTGAGAGAGCAAGAAAAAGAATTTATTTAACAATGCCAGGAGTAGAGGATAGTAGATGAAGTTATGATTAAGACAGCAAAAAACATTTAATGGCCAGCTGTAAGCACTGGTTTCAGAAGGAAGGAAAAACAAAGTTAAGGGGTTACTTTTCATTCATGATATTCCCTTACCCCACCACTTCTCGTTTTTCACTCGCTATTGATTCACAACTAGTGTAGGCACAAGAAACACAGCATTTTGACAAATCCACACTCTGCTAAGAAAAGCTTACCTTCCATTTGGGATGGGCTCACAGGTTTTGTTAGGGGATTTATTAGTACAGATATTTTCAGCATTTGGAAGGTTTAGATGGAAGGAAAATGGAGCCTTGTGCTTGGGAAAAAAAAAAAAAAAGAATGGCATGTTTGCAAAGGTCAGTACCATCCTCACAGTGTAAACACACTGAACTGGCAAGAAAGAGGTCTCGTTTCACCTCTCTAAATTAAATACTGGTCACTGTCTGAACTACACACCGTTTCTATACCTGGCAGATGGTTCAGCTTCTACAAAATCTTTAGGGCTCTTACAACAGCCCTCACTAAGTACCGTATGGAAATTCCACCTACAGCACATGCAGATTTGTAACTAGCTCCCTCTTAACTCACAGCAATGATCAGCTGGTAGTAATACCTCCAGAGTTTTAGCTCCTGCTACAAAGGTAGTTGATAAATCTGTGTCAGTCAACATTGACCAAAAGAAAAAAAAAAAAAGCCCAGTAGTTACTCACAACTTTCATTTACTTATTTCTTTATTCCAAGCTTTGTGATGGATATGCTTGTCAAAACAGGATAGACTGAAAAACAACCTTTTTAACATCATGACTCATCTGGCTATTAGTCACAAAAGAAACTAAACACATATCTGCACAGAGAATGGATTTGGGGTTTTACATAAGAAAACTTGCAAGCAATACATTAAATTGTCCGAAGAGAGTCTAACCTTTTGTCAAGTTTTTGCTGAGTCTTGAATAAGGAACTTATTAATAAGAACTATGGGGCAATACAGTTTGCAGCATTAAGCTGATGTGCCAAGAGTACAATCACCCAAATGCAGTGCAAGTCTGCTAACAAAACTAGTGGATACAACACTGGGTGCCTCCTAATGGGACGTGTGGCTCTAGCAAGCATTACATTTCAGTTTCTATTGTGAAACATAGTATTTTAGATGGACAACATCATAAAAACATTCACCTTTCAAGCTCAGATTCTTCCTGTATCTGTCTGCATCCAAAATAAACTTGAGTTGAGCAAGAATAGCTTTACTTTATGCGTAGGAGAACCACCTGTTTGTTACAATCTGGAGGACTGAATGTCACAAATACTCAGAGACCTCCCGAAGAACTGTGGTGTCTTGACCATGAGAAAATGGTTTTCAATTCTTAAGTTATAAATCCTAGAAATTGAGGGAAAAAAAATCTAAATTGTCTGCTGGCTTAGCTGGAGAGCGAAATGGCTCATTCCCAGCAGTTACTGAGCATCACAATTTTCCAAATGTTTGGGTAAATAATTTTCTATCATCGGATGTTGCGTTCCTGAACGTAAATCCTTAGCTAAGGTTACATGTAAACGGCAAAACCATGTGTGAACTCCACTCACCTATTTTTGACGGAGAGTCTTTATAGTTCTCTCTCTCCATAGCAATACCCCTGGCCTTTCTGGATCAGGAAGAGGCCATTTACAAAAAGGCAACCTCCACAAAATCTCAATAGACATCACCACTGTCAGCAAGCATTTCTGAAGGTAGCAGCTACCGTACAGGATTAAATAAGCGGCATTTAAGAGTTACCTATTATGTGTTAGAAAGCTTGAAAATAATAACCACCCTTTTTGCTAGTCTAGGCCAGGGCTAGAAGCTCTTACACAAGTCACCTTGTCAAAGAAAAATGTAAAAAATATTCTGAATTTAAGAAATCAGTAATTGGAAAGCAACACTGTAGGCTGCTGTACACATTTGGTTTATAAAAATACAACAGTCATGTGACTGTGGAAAGACTAAGCAGACTCAGTTTAAACATTTTTCCTTGTGTCTAGCTGTGCTTGCATCCTGCTTCTGTAGTGCGTAGCTGACAAGTTGGGCAGCTGCAGAAAACTCCTCCTCTCCTGCTACCCCTCTGTAATTTAAAATAAAGCACTGCAGTTCGTTCTGAGTCACTGCTAGGATATGAAGTTATAGCATCAATACAAACAAATTATCTTCAAGACAACACTGAATTTTATGCTACTGTACCTAAATCTTTAAGTGACTGAATTTATAAGCTGCATCTGCAGCTTTAGTACAAAACACATGATGAACTACAACTAGTGAGCTTGGTCTCGCTGCAGTTTACTGGCACAAAAATCTTGGATGTTCCTTTTACAAGAAAGAGATGCTGGTAGGCATCAAAGCAACTTCTGGCATCAGCAATAATTCCTGCTACTTATCATTAAATGCGGACAATGATGTTGGCATTATCAAACAGTGTAGAATGGATCATAAAGTGGTAGTTTCTTCTGCATTTAAACTGCTCACGATTTCATGTCTGGTCGTTTCCAAAGCCACAAACAGGTCAGCTTGTCCATGTCTTAATTCTACTGAAGGTAATCCCTACGCTCTATGCAATAAAAGCCAACCAACCAAAAAAACACTCAAAACACCCCACCCACAACAACAACCATCCCCAAAAACCCTTCTGTAAAGGGGAGTGAAATGGAAACGCCGGGGGCAGCACAGCCCGGCGCCTCCCGCCGTGGGGAAGTCCCATCCCGCTCCGCAGCGACG